CTACCGGATCAAACGTCCCTGTTAACCAACCCAGATGGGGAGAATCACGACTTGATAGAACGGGGAATCCTCCGACTCATGGCATGGCTCCTTTCCGGGGACCCTGGGAAATCACGGAAGTTTCGGGAACAACTACCCAACTCTTGGCGAACGCCTGGGCACCGGGAACAAGGCGCGCATATGCTACGGCATGGAGAACTTGGTCCGATTGGTGCCTGGAAAGATCAGTGGATCCCATATCAGCTTCTGTAAAGACGGTACTGGACTTCCTCACTCAATTGTTCGAATCGGGCAAGGCATTCCGTACAGTCAACATCTACAGGTCTGCTATCTCAGCAGGTCATGATACTGTGGACGGGACTCCCCTTGGTCAGAACCCCCTGATATGTCGCTTACTCAAAGGTATACGTTTTTCACGGCCACCTAAACCCAGGTACGGATCCTTTTGGGATGTCAACATAGTGTTCAAATTCCTGGAAGACTGGCCCGACAACGCGGCACTGTCAATCAAACAGTTGTCCGCTAAACTACTCATGATTTTATGTTTATTATCCTGTAAACGGGTATCAGATGTAAGGGCTTTGGACTGGCTAGCCCGATCATTCACTCCAGAAGGGGTGTCTTTCGATATTTCAAGAAGAACTAAATCGGCGACTAAACAAGTTTTCTATCCACACCTCCCGCACCAACCAAAGCTATGCCCAATTCTGAGCCTAAAAGAATACTTCTTCCCTAAGACCGTCAAACTACGGCCCGTTGTTCATTTCACTAAAGAAACCGCATTTACCAGTGTCCACACCTACTCTCGCCCGTTGGGCCAAATGGTTATTGGCCTCGGCCGGGATAGACGTTACAATTTTTTCGGCCCATTCGGTCAGAGGCGCTATGGCTTCTAAAGCTTCGACGGTAGGGTGCCGGTTAGAAGACATCCTTAAGGCCGCAGAATTGGTCTACGGAATCCACATTCCGGAATTTCTATTTTAAACCAATCCAACATTTTTCGGAAAGAGTCATTGCTCAGCTTTGAAAGAGCATAATAGGAGCCTCCGTGTCTTTAATAAAATTCCTAGATTTTACTATTAACATGACGTAAAGTCATGATTTTATTAAAGACACGGAGGCGAGTATTATTCCCTCCCACCCTCCCTGGGTGGAGGGATTGTTTTTTCTCACGGATACCAACCACAGATCAGGTGGACTCCTACAATGTAGATACCTGTAGGTGCGCTCATACGTCTCTCAGGTAGGTGACTTTGTGATATAGTAGACATAATCTTATATTACCTTTTGATATGTCGACATGACTACTACTTTATACGACTTAGTTTTTACCTACATGAAGTTACATGATGCAACCAGTTGCCGACTATATATTACCATATTTTCTCCTCTCTTTTAGCCTGAATCATACTGTCAAAGTGGTGATTTTCCGTTACAAAGCGTTACAGTCTAACCTCAAGGATTGGACATTACCTTTCGCCCACTGTTCCTGTTCGGGCCAAGTTACAGTTCGGTTATGGATCTGGTCTTCGGATCATGGAAGAAAGAGGAAGAAGCATGGAGTGCTACACCTTATATACTAAGGGGGTGGATACCTATGAGCACTGTTCCATATGCTAATGTTATTGTTATTTTTTCTCTCATTTGCATATATCTCTCTTCGCTGCTGAGGGAGAATTAAAGAAAGAGAAGCATAATACTCGCCTCCGTGTCTTTAATAAAATCATGACTTTACGTCATGTTAATAGTAAAATCTAGGAATTACTACTACAGTTTGTTACATTGTTAACTCCTGTTGACTATGCCCCCAATGCAAACAATCTGCTCTATCTATTTTACCTGTGGCCACAATCTTTGAGCATTGAGTTACTCATGTTTTCTATTATTTAAAAAAAATGTGCAGATTATTGTATTGTTTCAAGGATGTTTAGATAGCTTGTACATGTGCAATATCCGAAATGTATCAATGCACAAAAATCAGGTTTGATTATTTTAAATTAGAATTAATGTCTATTTATTAATGTTCAAGGTGATTCTATATTCTCAATGTAGATCCCAAAACTGGTAAGATATCAGACTACCATATGAAATTCAATGAAAATATAAAATATGCAGTATAAAAGTATATAAAAAAAAAAGAAAATATAAAAACATACTATATAAACAAAACGTAGTACATACACCCAACAAAATAAAAACGGAATGAAATAAAGAAACTCATTGTAGTATAGTTTTTATAGTAAATATTAATGAAATAAGAGATCATTATTTAAGGATGAACCCCAATCACTACGAACTACAGAAATAATTACTGCACACGTGATTCAGTGAAGGCATCTGCTCATCCTGTTCTCTGGTAGAGCAGCATAAATCTGACTACATTGTATCCTCAGCAATTAGCAAATCATTTAATTGGACATACAATACGTATTCACAAAATTAATTCCCGTGTTGGGCACAGATTCAATAATTTGACAAAGCTGATTGTTTGATACATGGAACAAAGTGTATCCATTAAATATATTGTTGTAATTAAATATGCATATGGCGTCTTCACTAATTAAATAGCAGCACAAACATTGCAAAAGTGTAATTAATATGCAAATACTGTGGTCGTTATTTTACTTTCTATGGCTCGCAGTAGTAAATATGATACATAGCAGGGAAATGTGTATTATGCAAAACGAATGTCATCAAAAGGTTCTGGAGACATTTCAATTAAAGGGTTAATCCAAACACCACAAACACTTCAGTGATTTGCCTGCTATCTGTACAGTTTAACCCCTCTGTATCTCCACCTCCAGCAGCGTCACTAGGCTAGAGCATACATGTCCCACTGTGCTTGAGATTGGTGGGAGTTACATTTTAGGGTAGTGGCCGTTTTTTCGTAACTGCTGCAATTAAAGTGGGACGTTGTTGAATTTACAAAGTCCCCCGACAGTGACATTGCCGCAGGAGGTGTGGTGGCAGGTAAATGTGAGACTTATCATCCCAAACCTGATCCGGTGGACCCTCTTCGGAGCATGCGCAAGAGTACAACATTGAGATCTATGGAGGAGTTTCACCAGGGGAGAGGGGTTGACAATGCCTCTTTAAGTCAGATCCCCTCCCAATAATTAATGATAGCAGCAGCAAGGGAGCTGGGGAGACAGTATTGCACTATTTCTATCTCCTCAGCTTCTCTCCCACAATATCATCATCAGGAGTGGACTGGATGTAATCAATAAAAGCACACAGTTGCTGCCTAACTCCCATTAAAGGGACACTATAGTCACCCAGACCACTTTACCTTAATGAAGTGGTCTGGGTGCCAGGTCCCTCTAGGATTAACCCTGCCTGCTGTAAACATAGCAGTTTCAGAGAAACTGCTATGTTTACATTTGGGGTTGAGCTGACGTCGGCGGGGGAGGAGAGGTAAGGGAGCCCGGCGTTGGAAGATGGTGAGTAACTGAAGGGGTTTTAACCCCTACAGCACCACGGAAACCGATTTGTTTTCCTGACACTATAGTGATCCTTTAATCTCTCTACCCTGAGATTAGGGACCCTCACACTGTACTGTGTCAGTCAAACTGTTCATTACAGAAAATAAGTCACCAATAGCGCAGTACAGGGTTTTAAGCCACGATCTGCCCTTTTAGGTAACAGCTAGACTATATAATATGCATTTATATATTATTTATTCCCCATTTTAGGGATGTTGTTGGGGAAACATTTTTGGATAGTGCTTGTGTTCTGAGCGACGATAATTTTATTCAAAGCATAAAATGTTCTGAAATTCTTGGCACTATGATGAAGAATGTTAATGGACTTCATCTGAGAAGTCATGGACAATTAAGTTGAATTAAATGATTCAAGTTGCTCACATTCTGAATTTTTACTCACAACTACTTCCTAATTTGCAGTTTTAACAGTACTTAGAAGTCCTATGGGTGAAATCAAGTCATGGGGCCTGTATATACATCCTTAGAACAATTTATTCTCTAATTCACATGAAGAGGCTGAGATCAGACTTGTTCACCTCAACTTATTTGGTTTTAAAAAGTGAAAAAGAAGCATGCGTTGAAAGGAAAATATGTTGTACAAAATAGGCTTAACTAGGTTTAGCGGCCAATTTAACACTGATATCCTTATACTACCAACACTGGGTCTCATTTTCCACAAGCCAAAACATTATGGATACATTTTACATTTCAGCTGTTTTTTTTACTTTCAAGACGATATAAATCAGCTAATTATTACAAAGTCTTCTGAGCGTGGGTGCTCACCTTTAAAATGAACATATATATATTGGAGCGATGAGAGCCTATTGGACTGGGTAAATTCACAGAATAGAGTTACAGAAAGTGTACAGTGTGGACTGTGGTCTGACATGCTATGATGTGTAAGTGTGGATTGGTCTGACATGCTATGAGTGTAAGTGTGGATTGGTCTGACATGCTATGAGTGTAAGTGTGGATTGGTCTGACCTGCTATGAGTGTAAGTGTGGATTGGTCTGACCTGCTATGAGTGTAAGTGTGGATTGGTCTGACCTGCTATGAGTGTAAGTGTGGATTGGTCTGACATGCTATGAGTGTAAGTGTGGAGTGGTCTGACATGCTATGATTGTCAGAGTGGACTGATCTGACGTGCTGTGAGTGTGTGGTCTACTGGTCTAAGTGTGAGAATAGACTGGTCTGACCTGCTTGGAGTGTGAGGTGGACTGGACTTACCTGCAGTGAGTGTAAGAATATAGTGGTCTGACATGGGGTGAGTGGGAGAGTGGACTAAACTCACACAAAGAAAGTGTGTGTGTGGATTGGTCTGATCTCTAGTAAACCTACATGTGGCCTGATGTGATTTGCAGTGAGTGTGGACTGGTATGATTCGTAGTGAGTGTGTACCGGTGTGACTCATAGTGAGTGTGTACTGGTGTGACTCGTAGTGAGTGTGTAGTGGTGTGACTCGTACTGAGTGTGTAGTGGTGTGACTCTTAGTGAGTGTGTAGTGGTGTGACTCGTACTGAGTGTGTGGCGGTGTGACTCATAGTGAGTGTGTAGTGGTGTGACTCGTAGTGAGTGTGTAGTGGTGTGACTCGTACTGAGTGTGTGGCGGTGTGACTCATAGTGAGTGTGTAGTGGTGTGACTCGTACTGAGTGTGTAGTGGTGTGACTCGTAGTGAGTGTGTAGTGGTGTGACTCGTAGTGAGTGTGCACCGGTGTGACTCGTAGTGAGTGTGTACTGGTGTAACTCGTACTGAGTGTGTAGTGGTGTGAGTGAGTGTGTACTCGTGTGAGTGGTGTGACTCGTACTGAGTGTGTAGTGGTGTGACTCTTAGTGAGTGTGTAGTGGTGTGACTCGTAGTGAGTGTGTACTGGTGTGACTCGTAGTGAGTGTGTAGTGGTGTGACTCGTAGTGAGTGTGCACCGGTGTGACTCGCAGTGAGTGTGTACCGGTGTGACTAGTAGTCAGTGTGGACTAGTCTGACCTCCTTTGTTGTATCTCGCTACACATGTTTCTCTGGAAATATACCTGGAACCGTTACTGTTCCTTTACCTGAGTCGCCTGGTAACATTACTGGCAAGGACCTGCATGGGAAAGGGGTAAGGATATGAAAACAATGAACTGGAACTAATCCACGAGCAGAGACATGGAGTTTTGTATTACCAATGGTTTAACGGTTTGGTACACAGCATATTAAGAGTCATATTGAAGGATATTATTAGCAGTTCTAATTCACTCTCTCTTCTGCCGTTTAATATTCTCATTCCTATGATAATAACCTGAATTCTCTTATTCTGGCTTCAAAGAACCAGCTGACTATCGCATGTTGCTTTATAAGTACGTTCGTAGTGTCAGCAGCCCTAGTCTACCTGCAGGTGTCTTTAAAACCTCAGTATTTAGTCCACTGAGACTCCACCAAACTGAATAATTACTGTGTCCCAGTGGTATTTAAACAAACCATGGCTTCATTCATGCTGTTAATGAATTGTACATTTAGATTTTGAGCTCTATTGCTATAGTTTAACAAAAAGGGATTTCCAGGTATTTCAGTGACTGGGTGTACGATTAACAGACTGTGTTATAATTATTGAATCATTTCACAAAAATTCCTCTTTAAAAGGGCCTATAATGAACCCAGAAATTAATTTACGCACCGTACAAGGCAATCTTTACTAAAATAATTTTGTGAGGTTGCTTTGCCTGTGCTAAATAAATAGGAAGAAACCAAAGCACATGATATATATTTTTAATAATGTTTTCATAAAATATTTAAACATTCTGTAGTTTTTCATTTGTTATCCCCTTGGTAATTGCCTTTTACAATAAGTAGAGAATAAATGGAAGGCATTTAAGTTAACATAAAGGAAGTTAAGATTCTCACAAAACCCATCCTACATAATTGATGTGTGTTGCTCCACCTTGTACACCAGACCAAGCGAAAGTAAACACTGAACAGAGGTATGGGGGGGGAAACTAACCAAACAGACACAATTCTTAAAAATGCAGTTATTACCATAGACACACAAATACCTATTTACCATGTCTGATTAATATTTTAATATGCATGCCATCGTCATCTTCCTGTCTCATCTACTTCCCTTGAAAATCACAATGTAACTCTTATACCTTCACAAACAGAGGTCTACTGCATCCGACTCTTTATCTAACTTCCACTGGGACAACAACACTGTTAAATATTAGTCTTTTGGGCCAGAGGCATGCCAGCAGGCTCTAGGTGGCAGGAGAGGACAGCCAACGAAAGGAGGGTGCAGCACTGCAGTAGCTACAGGACATGGAGAGGACAACGATGGTTGATTTGAGATTTGATTTCTTTATGTATAATTTGATCAAAATAATGTTATATAATCGTTTTTGGACTTTGAGAACTATATGGTTCATTGAAATGGGTGAATCTCTAAACTAAACAGTGTATTCTTTTAAACATAGGAACATAGACTGTGACAACAGATAAGGGCCAATCGGCCCATCTATTCTGCTCAATTTTCTTAATACTTGCATTAGTCTCTTATATCTAAGATAGCCGTATCCCTATCCCACGCATGCTTAAACTCCTTTACTGTGTTAACCTCTACCACTTCAGCTGGAAGGCTATTCCATGCATCCACTACCCTCTCAGTAAAGTAATACTTCCTGATATTATTTTTAAACCTTTGTCCCTCTAATTTAAGACTATGTCCTCTTGTTGTGGTAGTTTTTCTTCTTTTAAATATAGTCTCCTCCTTTACTGTGTTGATTCCCTTTATGTATTTAAATGTTTCTATCATATCCCCCCTGTCTTGTCTTTCCTCCTTTTCTACAATTTGTCCCAATATTGTCCTTCCGACTTAAAAAAATAAAATTGTAATATTGCTTCTAACTTTTACTGTGGCTTCTTAGTTAGTAGTGTACATATTTTTTGTTTGTTTTTCTCTTCATTTTGCAAAACTACATTGCCTTTCCATTTAATTCGAAAGATAGCCTGTACTCTTTTTGTTTACTGTTTGCTTTTTAGAACCTTTTTTTAAATCTATATCACTGAAGAAAAAGTGTAAGATGAAACTTTTGGCTGGGTTAAACTTTTGCAGGTGTTTAAAAGCCATATGGGATGAAATATTGACTATGGCGGTTTTGCAATAACTATACTGCTTTCTACTTTAGGATCAATGAATTCTGATTTCCTATAATATAACTCTTCATTCTCATTGATCTCTGACTTTTTTCAAGTAAATTTTCACATTTCCAAAACTGTTTAGTATCTGGATATTAAAATATTATTCAGCATTATTTGCATGGCACTAAATGATCTTATTTTGGCAAACACACTAACTTCTTTCTTAATACTGTACATAATGTTCTTGTAGCGTTCACTGATGTACCTTCTGTGTTTATATTGCAGCAATATCTCTTCAAATTCCCTATTAGAACATTATTTTTCCTTGTCATCAAAAACTTTATCTGCTCAGGATAGGTAGAAGCTTTCAAAAAAACAATACTTCTAAAAGTACAGTCAGGGGAACCCAACGAGAAATGTAGCTGTGAAGAGTGGGATTGTGCTAATAACAATCACTGCAGAAGACCAACTAGGGATTTCGTTTTGACCTGGAATCAAAAATGTATTATGTTTGATTTAGTGTGGAAAATATTAGATTCTTCTACAAGCTTTAGCAATGATTATCGTCCATGGCTGCCAAGATTAGAAAAGTACTGGAATCTAAACATTCTACAATACAAATTAACCTGCCATGTTGTTACTAACCAAAACTAATACGCCATGTAACGGCACCCCGGGCATAAAAGGGTTAAAGCGCCGTTTAGTAGATCTTCCCTTCCAGAGACACAGGCACAGCTACTGCAGAACACCAAACTCCCGAACTGAATACAAGGGAATGCTCCAAACTCCCGAACTGCATACAAAGTAGCACTCCAAACTCCCGAACTGGAACCTCACGAATAGCTGCCAGCAGACGAACAGGAAAAACACCCAAGTGTCTTACACTTCTGGCAATTAGTCTCTAACAGCATACAGTAAATCCCCCCAAAGACGAGACAGAGCTCCGTGTTGAGGGTCAAGTAGTGGTCTGGTTTATTGAGGGCTACCTGCCTGGTATTTATGCAGGTCTCCCACCTGGTGGACACTCCCCTAGGTGACCAGATGGAAGACTGTAACACAGACAGACATGTATCACATTCAGACACACAGAAGTAAAACATCCCCACAATGCATCCGAATTTCCCTCCCTCTATCCTGGAGATAATTGGGAAGTAATCCAATTACCTCCCAGAACAGAGGCAAAACTCCATTATACACATGGGGACACAAAGACAGTAAAATACTTTAAAATATACAAAGTTACATTTAATACATAAAATCCATACATGTCACATATCCCCAGATAGCTGTGATCTGAGCGCACATAACTACCGAATAGCGCTCAGATCCTATACACACAGTTCAATTGCAATGGAGCCAAAGTCTTTAATTACACGAATAGGCTCCATGGCATAGCTCTCTGGGTTAAAACATTCACTAAAGTAAAGTCCCGATCAATTCAGCGTTTGGCTAAACAGCCACAAATAGAAGCAGGGAAGGCTGGAGGCTCAGTGGTGCCTGCACATAAAAGTGTCCGCTTTTAGTGCACTGATTCCGGGCTGAGCACCGCTGGCCGTCCGGGGAGCTCCATAACACCGACAACTAGCGGCCGCTAAGTGTAACCGTGGCCACCCATTAACAGTCAATTAACAGCTACTGGGTGGTCAATTGACGGCACACGCTAGCTTCAGGGAGGTGAATTGAAGGCACACGCCAGCTTCCCGGTGGTCGCGCCTTCGGTATTTTGTTTGGAAGATAAAATCTACCGAACGCCCCTGGCAGAAAGGCATGAATAAGCCTTTCTGCAGGAAAAATAAAGTATTTTAAAAGTCCGGTCCATAGTCTAAAGGGAGCAGACGGGCAACCAGGCTCCTCCAATGCAATGTGGCGAGATTGCTCTCATCACACGCCATATATGCAAAATTAATGAAATATAGTAGATACCTTCCCCTAGATAGTGTTGAACCTTAGGGAGAAGTTGGGCTTCCCCATACCTCTGTAGTTACAGAGAGTCACACCTCTAGAAGGGAAGGGTGTTCCAAAGGTGCAGCGCGGAGAAGTCTTGGAGGGGAGCATCAGATGTGGGAACTCGGACAGAGGATAGACATAGACATATTCAGAGTTCTAAAAAAACTTTGTGGTGTAGCGCTATATTTAAATAGAAGGGTAGTGATAAAAACTAGGTATATATCGATACTACCTTGAAATTCCTTATGTCTTTATATTCACATAAGAGTATAAATTCTACAAGACATAAAAAACAGACAGACCAAACATAAAAAAAAAAATATATATATATATAAAAAACAATAAAAAACAATATCAAATTGGCATAAAATCCAAAAGTCCAAAGTCTCACAGTCTCTCCAGGACTGATATTGTTTTTTATTGTTTTTTATATATATATATATATTTTTATACAATTACCGTTATAATAAAATTATTTACATTTTATACTATATATTGGCATTTCCCTGCTACTTCTTATTCATTTTTCACAAAGAAGGTGTGTAGTCCTCAACTACACAAGTGTGTGGATTAGAGCCGATCTGGATGGCTCTAATTTTGTGAGTATTACATTTTATATTTATCTCACATTGATAATTATTACGATACTGCACCATATACGGTTTCTACTTCTATAGGAAACCAAGGAGATCTATACACAAGAAGGGTGAGGGTCGCCTTTACGGACCCCAAGAGCGCAGATATTGAGCTATTTCATATTAGCTCCTAAAATTGTGAGTGGGAAATTTTCCCTTCCTTATTCTCTATAACGGACTTTATTATACAGTTTGCACTATGTTTGGTCTGTCTGTTTTTTATGTCTTGTAGAATTTATACTCTTATGTGAATATAAAGACATAAGGAATTTCAAGGTAGTATCGATATATACCTAGTTTTTATCACTACCCTTCTATTTAAATATAGCGCTACACCACAAAGTTTTTTTGGGTTCCTATTCTTGTAAGATAAGAATTTGGTGTGATAGCAGCTACTTTAGTTATTTAGAACACAGTTCACTGGTTGGGGAATATTTAGCGCTGGTACACCCCCTCTCTTTTTTTATATTCAGAGTTCTGGTTGAGTCCATGCCTCAAAGGATCCGAGCTGTTTTGGGAGCACGACGGGGGCCTACACAATATTATGGCGGTGTTTTTCAATGTGGTGGCTGATCAGTGTACGTACACTTCTTTTACCCCTTACATACAAAATAACGCCAAATTCTGTCATTCTAACCTTAAAAAAAAATTTCTGGACTGTATTTATTTTATCATGCAATGAGCTTGTCATTAGTATTATGGCAATTTGTTATTAATACTCAGACCAATGCAAAAAATGTCATTAGTTCTAAACCTAGCATTTCATGACATTATTGTGCTATTCCAAATCGCCTTATTATTGTAGACTCTCGTTTTTCCGTCATAATTATATATAATTACACTATATTGTTATACCTGACATTAACCTTATTTTCAATAAAAATTCGTAGAAATCACATTGACTTCATTGAAGTCTATAGGAAAATTGATATTCTGTAAGTCGAGTATAAACCCTTACTCTGAAAAGATTATCCAACCTTTGTATCTACAGCAAATATTTACCATGTGTACAGTGAATTTATCAAAACATACACTGCTTATATTTCTATTCTTTCTCATATATACAGTTACAGATGTCCAATGTTTAAAAAGAAAAAAAGTATACATACATTTTATTCCAATATAACTTTATTTGTTTATTAAATATTACAGAAATCATACATCGCAGTAGAATAAGATACAAAATTAAGCCAGAGTTTGTACACAAGTAATCTGCAATCACAGTAACGAATTGGTGGTACAAGAGCTGAGACGCTGATAGAAAGCCAACGGTCGAGAACCAGTAGCTAAGACAAATCTCAAACACAGAGAAATCTGTAACCTGTAATATGTTCATGTTAGTTGTATAATTCCATATGAGACTGGTATCAATGATTGGTGCTGGGGTTCATAAATGAACAAACTGCAAAGAGAGAAAACGTCTATAACATTGAAAGAGAAACGTAATTATAATGTCATGAATTTAAATAGTCAGACAGGACATTTAAGGATTTGTAAAAGGTTGACACGTATAAGTATAATAAAGAGAAAAAAATCTTAAAAGAAAATGCCATATATACAGGAATAGTAAATTAATAACAGGAGGTACAAAGATCTTAAATACTTCTCTTTCATAAAAATATAATGTGTCACCACCTATATTCCTGACATTACAGAGTTGGAGGGTGTCATACAGGCTCTGTCTTACAAAAGACATACATGACTCATTAGTAATAGCTTAACATGACTCTATGCAGAGAGCTGGAGAACAATGCTATAATAGGCTTCTCCAACCACCATGACCACTTCAGTGATTTAAAGTGGTCATGGTGCCTGGAGTCTGCATGTGCAGCTTTGAAAATGCTATGAAACATTGCACATACAGAGACTGACCCCTCTGCATCATATGGGTTGTCATTAGCAAGCTGGGAGCAAGAGAACTGGGCCCGCTAACATCAGTTCTGTGTAAAATTGGCATCTGATGCCAGTACGCACATCATGCTGGTGGCAGACAGCCAATAGCAGCACGGACCCCTTCTATGCCGTCCCTGTCCTCCCCTCAGTCCGTTCTCCCTCTGGCGAGAAAAAGTGATGTCAGTGGACAAAGATTAGGATGTGGGAAAAGATTTAGGTTTAAGGTTTTGTGTTTTGGCATTTAGAGGTGGAGGTGGACAACCACATGAAGGGTTTCTCCAAGCAAAACCTTTTTTTTTTTTTAAATATTGGATTTTGGTTGGAGTAAGCCTCTATTAAATAAAAATGTAACAGTTATTACTTACTAAAAATAAGCCATTAACAGATATACCAAATAAAGTAAAAAAAAAAAAAATGACGTAACAAATCTTAT